CTTTTTTTTGCAAACCTCAATGAAACACAGATTTAGGATCTAATTTCTGAAAAGTTTAGTCAAAGCGAGTCAAATGATTTAAAAATGCAGGAAAAGAAAGTAAGTAGTGCCAGCAATGACACCAGGAGATCTGAACTGAATCAAATTAAATATTTAGATGGAGCAGAAGGTATGTATAATGAAGACATGTTTGTTTCTTCTGTTAAATTAATATCCTCTATATTGTATATTATATCCACTAAACTGACCTTGATGTTCTTTTCACTTTGCCTATGAATAACTTCTGAAGATAACAAACTAGCATATCCTGTAGATAGGCTCTCGACACACAATTAGTTCTAATTGCCTGGAGAATCCACAACCTAGTCTCACCTCTAACCAAAACCGTTCACACATGGACAAATCACACCACACATGGCTACATGCTCAAGCTAAATCAAAGCTAAGTTAATCCTCATGTGTTCTGTGACCTCTAACCTAAATGTGAGTGATTGAACACAGAACCACAGCAGGTAACTTTAGGCATCTGACAGCAGGTAGAAAAAAAAACACCTAGTGACTTCCACACTTTTTGGATGTGATGTTGAAAAACCACGAAATCTGTGTTTTTTGACTGCTTTCCTGCTTTTCCTGCTTCTCCTGCTTCCAGCCTACAGCAACAACTTTTGTTGCTGTAGGCTGGACTAAGCAAGGGTTTGTTTTTCTGTAGCCTGTGTGCATTTCCACAAACGTACCTCCTCCAAAGTGCTGCTAAGATGAAAGATCTGTCCTTCTCCCTCCACTTGCCGCACACACAGTTTGCAGCTGACGTTTGTGGTGGTGGAGCTCAGTCTCTCCAGAGTGAAAGAGCAATGAAGAGTTCTCTGACTGCCGCTCCACACCTGGTAGAATGGGATTTCCTGGAAATGCACACGGATTTGGGAACATTACTTTTAAACGAGGCTAAATCTGATCAACTCATCAGAAGCCAACAAAACAAAAGGTGGAAAAAAGTATTTATAAAAAGTGATTATGCTAATTAAATTACTGGGACAAACTAGTGAAGTGGTGAACATGTACAATATGTGCCAGGATGAAGTGTTTATAATGGACAATTTTAAGCAATTTTCAGGAATCTATAAAAAATCTAATTTTTTTGCGTTTTCTGCAACTTACTTATGTTTTTCACTAAGTAGTTTGAACAAAGTTTTAATACAAACTCTTTTTTTTTTTATGCCTCTACCTCATTAGCAAACCATGCAATTAGAAAGCATTTTTTGTTGTGGTTAAAAATTTAAAAGTATTTCCCTTTCAAAAAGACTAGCACTTCTTTAACCTTGAAAGCTGGGCATTAAAATTCAAGTACTTCTAAGTTCTGAGTGTACAGTACGAATTCTGTAATGTTGGATTCACCTGATACTTTGCAATGAGCTTGCTCTTCCAATGTGTGTGTGGCACGTCGTGGATGGACAGTCTCAGGTTGTGTGTGCTGTCTTTAAAGTTCAGTGTTTTTGGCTCATCCAAAAGTTTTCCGCCCATCTGGGTCTCCATTTGAAGAACCTCCTACACAGTACACACACAAAGACGTTCATGAAAACATAGGTAGCTTCTTATCAACCTTCACTAAAAAAGTTGATTTACAGGTTATAACAAAGGTAAGGGGACAGGTGTAGATGAAAATGTTGCAGAGTTTGAATAAATGCCAGAAATATATACACCATAGTATCGTATTGTGAAGTCAAACTAGAAGGACTACATGGTGGGATTATTAGCTTTAGTGATGCTTATCCAAGTCAGTCTCATTGCTGTTAATTAGATGTCAGTGATGATTCCGGCCTTCATGAAAGTTTGGACGACACTTGAGACTGATACCTTAGCCCAGACATCCATGATCCATTAGCAGATAGTGGCGTAACTCGCCCAGCGTTGCCTCCCTATCTTAGTGAATGTGTGTTCGCTTTCAGTCATCCAATGCTCCCACGCAGCTCGCAATTTAACATTAAACGCCCTGTTAACACCATTGTTTAACGGTTAGAATTATGTGGTTAACCCACCCGGAATGATGGCAAGCCCCAAATTAGTTTGCTTCACATGGGTTTTGACAATATCGGTGAGATGAGCGTGCATTGAGTCACAGCTCAATAGGGACGGAGATTTGTCAAAAAGGGTAGTGACATAAGTTGGACAATGGAGGACGGTGTTGTTGTTGTTCACAGGTTTTTAAATGCGCCTTATAGTGCGGAAAATACGGTAATTCACGTTCAATACAAACATTTTAACAATTTTGAAAAATATATTTTTGTGTTGTTGTGGATTTCAATACTAGGTTTTTCTCACAGCCTGAGTTGAATAAAACGTCAAATCTGTAGTTTATGTATTATAATGGGGTTTGCTTAAAACTGGTGGTACCCCATACTTAGTATCCTGTAGGTGGAGCTTTTAATGACACCGGTCCATTATCTATGACTAAAGTCATAGTCACTTCTTGTTTTTATGAAGACTCCCTAGATTTATCCTTTTAACATGATCATAGTGCATCTCATTACTTTTTGGTATACTAAATTTACCCTCCAAAGGAAATCACATTTTGTATTTAACTCCATTACACACTCCAGTGGTCAACTGCCAGGACTGGGACTCAAACCGGCAACTGTAGACCACAGGCCGCCCGTGGCAAGTAGTATTATGAGCATGCATACAGGTATGTATCTTGAATACATAAAAATGTAATGAAGTAAATTCAATTAATTATTTTGTATGAATTCTTTTGCCTTCTGAATTTAGGAATAAATCATGTGATGTCTTTGTCCATTGTGTGTCTCAAGGCTAGAACTGTATTTGACTTAGCTGTGCTCCAATTGTTCTGGTAATAGAGTTACACAGTGTAGAACGAAGTCCTGTTGGGATTTTTGTTCTTTCTTTTGTGAATTAACCCCTGACTTCAACTACAACTTCCCCAAAAAGGCAAAGAAGTTTATGAACACACAGGTATGAATGAGGATAGAAACAAAACATAATGATGACATCAACACATGAAGCCAACACATACACAAAAATGCACACACTAACACCAAACACAATCATTTTCTGATATATGAATAAGTTACCACTTAGTCTCTAATGCCTACTCCATCCTTTTTCAAAATCAATTCCTTCTTCCCATCATCTTACTACACACCTCCTCAGCGAAGCGACTTTACTTTTGAAACTCCAAGCGATCAATTCCACTACACAAAGTTCCCATCAATAATAAGTCCACTACACAAAGTTCCCATATAATAAGTCCACAAAGTTCCCATCAATAATAAGTCCACCTCTGAGCTCTGATCTCAAGCCACACTTGCCAGTTTGAAATGTTAAATGTAGATGTGAGCTTATGTTTGTTGCAGTGTGCACATGATTGCCCACCACCCTGACACTTGACTTATTTGCACGTATAAATTACTAGTGATAATCTCTATATTAAACGACCCTCCGGTAATTCCACTGCTGCACCGCGGTGATATATCTCCACCCTGTTTGGTTTAACGCTTCTGAACTAAAGGTGACTCCAGAATTACAGTCTGTCCCATTACCATGATGCATTAGATTCAACATGTACATTTACCTTGAGTGCATCCTGTGTGTCATCCAAACAGTAGACCCTGATGTGATAGTCCAGAGTTGTGCAGCAGACTGGTCCAAAAACAGCCAGTTTAAACCTCTTGGCAGCTGCTTTACCCATCGATTGTCCCACCAGGCAGTACGTCCCCAGTGTCTCTGTCAGGATGTGACATGCCTCTGAGTCCATCTGCACGTAGCAGGGGGTGGTGAAGTTTTCCTCTCCTACCACGACCACATCCTGGATGAATAATATACACAAAGTTTCCTTTTTCTGAAAGAATATGTCTGATGCAAGTGGCTGTTTTCTTTAGTCAAACTCAGAATTTGTCCTAAAAATTCTTCAAAGTGAAATTTCTCAAGGGTTATAACAAAAGAAGTTGTAAAGTATCTCTTATGTTTTCCCAGACTTACCCATGCATGGAAAATGACACTTTCCAATTCCAAGACTTTTAGAGTTTTTTTTCATAATGTACAACCCCTGAATCGAGAAAACCACCCCTAAATATGCCACATTTTTTCCATGTTTAGTAGCAGAATGGAAAAGAAAGGACAGCAGCAGGTAGTTGTATATGTTCTACACTACCTTTCATTTGTGATTAATCCAAATGATGAAATTATTAATATGGAAAAACATCTTTTTCTTTCGGCTTTGTCTCTTTTTCAGGGGTTGCCACAGTGAATCATTGATTTCCATCTCTCCCTGTTCTCTGCATCTTCCACTCTGACTCTAACTATCTGCATGTCCTCCATCACTGCATCCATATATCTCCTCTTTGGCCTTCCTCTTTGTCTCCTACCTTGTAGCTCCATCTCTAACATTTTTCTACCAATGTATCCACTGTCCCTCCTCTGCACATGTCCAAACCATCTCAATCTGGCTTCTCTAGCCTTTTCTCCAAACCTTCCTGTCTGTGTTGTCCCTCTAAAGAACTAATTTCTGATCCTGTCCATTCTTGTCACTCCTAAAGAGAATCTTAGTATCTTTAACTCTGCCACCTCCAGCTCCGCCTCCTGTCTTCTAACTATTGCTAGTGTCTCTAATCCATACATCATGGCTGGTCTCACCACCGTCCTGTAAACCTTTCCCTTCACCTTAGCTGACACTCTTTTGTCACAGATCACTCCTGACACTTTTCTCCAGCTGTTCCATCCTGCCTGTACTCTATTCTTCACCTCTTTTGCACGGTCTCCTCTGCTCTGAACAGTTGATCCTTAGTACCTAAACCCCTGCACCTTGACCACCTCTGCTCCTTGTAACCTCACTATTTCACTGTTCTCCCTTTCGTTTACACACGTACTCTCTCGTACTGTCTTGTTGTGGCTGACCTTGATTCCTCTTCTCTGTAGTGCAAACCTCCACTTCTCTAGATTATTACTCTCACTACAGATCACAATGTCATCTGCAAACAACATAGTCCATGGGGACTCCTGTCTGACCTCATCTGTCAATCTGTTCATCACCACAGCAAACAAGAATGGGCTCAGGGCCGATCCTTGATGTAGTCCCACCTCCACCTTGAAGTCATCTGTCCTTCCAACAGCACACCTCACTACTGTTGTACTATTCTCATACATGTCCTGCACCAAACTAACATACTTCTCTGCCACTCCTGACTTCCTCATACAAAACCACAATTCCTCCCTTGGCACTTTGTCATATGCCTTTTCTAAATCTACAAATACACAATGTAGCTCCTTCTGACCTTCTCTGTAGTTCTCCATCAGCATCCTCAAGGCAAATATTCCATCTGTGGTACTTTTCCTAGGCATGAAACTATACTCCACTTCCTGCCTCAACCTAGCTTCAACTAATCTTTCCCAAATCTTCTTCGTATGGCTCATCAACTTTATCCCTCTGTAGTTGTTACAACTCTGTGCATCACCCTTCTTATAAATTGGCACCAGAACACTTTTCCTCCACTCATCAGGCATCTTGTCAGTCTCTACAATTCTGTTAAACAACCCAGTCAGGAAATTTACCGCCACTTCTCCTAAGCACTTCCATACTTCCACTGGTATGTCATCAGGACCAACTGACTTTCCACTCTTCATGCTCTTCAGGGCTTTTCTAACTTCATCCTGTCTAACCTGATCTACCTTCTTCCTAATAGTCTCTGGTTCCTCGTTTCTACTTTCCCTTTCATTTTCCTCATTTAACAACTCCTCAAAGTATTCCTTCCATCTTCTCAGCACACTTTCCTCACTTGTGATTACGTTCCCCTCTCTGTCCTTAATCAACCTCACCTGCTGCACATCCTTCCCAGCTTGATTTCTCTGTCTCGCCAATCTATACAACTCAGTTTCTCCTTCCTTTGTGTCCAAAGTCTCATACAACTCCTCATATGCCTTTTGTTTGGCCTTGGCCACTTCCCTCTTCACCGCCCTTGTCCTCTCTTTGTACTACAGTCTGTTCTCTTCTGTTCTCACACTATCCCATATGTTCTTTGCTAATCCTTTCTCTGGACAATGTCCAGAGAAAGGATTAGCAAAGAACATATGGGATAGTGTGAGAACAGAAGAGAACAGTCTGTTCTCTTCTGTTCTCACACTATCCCATATGTTCTTTGCTAATCCTTTCTCTGCACAATCTCCTGGATCTCATCATTCCACCACCAGGTCGCTTTGTTCTCCTTTCTCTGCCCAGAGGACAGACTTAGCACCTTCCTACCTGTCTCCCTAATCACTGTAGCTGTAGTCTCCCAATCATCTGGGAATTCCTCAACAAAGCCCAGAACTGCCCCTATTTCCTTCCTGAAGTCTTCACAACATGTCTCTTTCCTTAGTTTCCACCACTTGATCTTCTGCTTTGTCTTCACTCTCTTCCTTTTTTTCACCTCCATCGTCATTTTGCACACTACCATCCGATGTTGTTTGGCTACACTCTCGCCTGCCACTACCTTACAGTCCCTTATCTCCCTCAGATTACCTCTTCTACATGGAATATAATCTATCTGTGTGGACCTGCCTCCACTCTTGTACGTCACCCTGAGTTCCTCTTTCTTTTGGAAGTAGGTGTTTACCACAGCCATTTCCAATCTCTTCGCGAAATCTACCACTGCATGTCCTTCCAAATTTCTATCCCTAACACCAAACCTGCCCATCACTTCCTCATCTCCTCTGTTCCCTTCCCCTACATGACCATTTAGGTCTGCTCCAATCACCACTCTCTCTCCCCTGGGGATACTCTCTATCATCCAATCCAGCTCCTTCCAGAACTTCTCCTTTTCTTCCAACTCACAGCCCACCTGTGGGGCATAACCACTAACAACATTTATCATCACTCCTTCTATTTCTAGCTTCACACACATCAATCTGTCTGACTCTCGTCGTTTCATCTCCACCACATTTCTTGCATATTTTTCCTTCCACCTGGTCTCCTGCACACACAAGATGTCTACTTTTTTTCTCTCTATCATATCAGCTAGTTTTCTACTTTTCCCTGTAATTGTAATATGGAAAAATGTGAAGAAATATTTGTAAATCTTTAACTCAAAAATTGGCTTTACAGAGCTGGTAAAGTTAGTCATCTTGACGGTGGTTCATAGAATGTCAAAGGTTGCTTTCAAATTTTTTGTTAAGGAAAAAGACATTGATCAGTCTCTATAGTCTCTCACAATCCACTCTACAAGCACATACTGAGCATTGAAATAAAAAAACCAATAACATTTCCCACAGTGTACATGAATAACAGTATCTTTTTCATCGTATATAATTTTGACAGCCCCCGTTTACATATATTTGCAGATCCAACTTTTTTTTTTTTATATATCACTGGGAGGAATTTTACAGTTTATAATTTCCTTTCCTTTGTTGAATGAGAAAGGCAATTTTGAAACAACTAAAGTTTTTGAAACAAAGTCTGGTGAATATCATAAACACAACCATCTCCAATGTGGACTACTGGACATATTTTTATAGTTTAAAATGTTAAACTTGTGCGGCGGCTTAACTTAATTAAACAAATCTGCCAAAAATAGATTAAGTAAAGCCCAATACTAAACATGACCTGTTTTAATGTTTGAGCTGATAGTTAAACGTTGATACCATAGATTATTCTCAGTTAAATAAGAGGTGACAGTGTTTGTCCTGCTTCATCTGACTGTTGACCGTACTTTGTTTGTTCAGGCCACTGTTGTTACGACCCATGTATGTGAGAACCAGCTTTGTTTGACTATGTACATGCATTAAGCCACTTCCTGTACGTTAAAACAATACCACCACTGTTACAACCTGTTACAATGAGACAAACAACAACTAGCAGCAAGGTTGTCACGTGCACCTGATGTAGGCAGGGTCAAGGGTTTTTTATTGTCTTTACATGACATTGCAGTGACAACTTTTATAGTTACTGAATGTTTGGTTTTGCAAAATTTTAAAATAAGAATGATTATGAATTTAAAATAGTATAAATAAACACAAAACGTAACAGGAATATGGAATTAATAAATAATATCATGTGTCTTGAGTAACTGTTATTATAATATATGATTTCTTGTAATCTCATAGTCATAGGCAAAAGCAGGGGTGGCCAACCATTCAGAGGCTAAGCCAAATTTTTTACTGTGTTACTGCAAGGAGCCACGTGATATACATGGGCACAAATGAACTGCCCCTACTCTGTTAAAGAGTGTTCATCTTCATATTTTCATTTTGCTGTGAATTATACCCTGCTAATTTGAGAGCGGGTTTTGAGAGCGGATTTCTCAATGGGTTTACCCTCCAAGTCTTTGCATTAACGCCTATGCACATGAGATTCACATACAGTAAAAAAAACAAAACACGAACAAACAAACAAACAAAAGTAAAAAAAAAAAAAATCCATATAAACGGGGGCCTGAGTTCAGAGACCCTGACTTCATTCTTTCATTAACATTTAACTTCCTTTCCTTTAATTTGCTTCTGCAAACATTTCTAGTGCATTTGCCTGAGTCATGATGAGTAGCTGTGGGTACAAGTCTATGCAAACAGACTTTGGTATGGATGTGGTGCATTCTGTGCACAAATGTTCTGCAAACTCTGACTTGCCATGCATGCCGAGCTGTGTCCCTACAGATGAGGCAAATCAACACAAATTGGTAGGACAGCAATACGGTACAAATCTGCTATTACTGTTAATCGCAAGCGTGGCTGCTCCCGCTGATGTGAGGGGAATTCAATTACCTGACTCTCTGTTTTCAGAAAAAAAAGAAACTTTCTGATAGAAAATGGATGTTCTACTGTAATAAGAGAAAACAAATTGACTTCCTGATGGAATTCCACTTTTCATTTTTTGCCCAGTCTGCAACAACCCTCCCTCTGTGCGGGACGTTCTCAAAAACACACAAGAGGTACGTGTGTGTATGTGTGTGTGTGTATAAAGGAACATGAGGGTGAGCAAGAGGGAGAAATTACATGCATGGCTAATTGTGCAGAGACATTGTGTTGCAATGCGATAAGCAACAGAAGACAGGTCTTGTAAACACAGCAATGCTGCGAGAAAGCCTTATCACCCACACACAAGGGCACACACATGCATGCCAACACACTGCCACACAAGCACACACACAATAACAGATTGCTGGGGTAGAGGCTTCATGCTGTGAGACTCGGCAAGAAACAGGGAGAGAGAGTGATGTGTAGGAAAAGAAAAAGTGAAAGAAACATGAGAAAAAAGGAACAGAGAGCGATAGAGAGAGAAATAGGGAGAGAGCGAGAGAGAGAGGAAGGGAGAGAGAGACGGAGAGAAGATGGCAAGAGCATAACAAATTGCACTACAGATAGGAGACTTCAACCTTCTGCTTGTCTAATAGCCCGTGGGCATTTTGTGTTTACCAAATTTATCCTCCCCTTCTTCTTTCCTCTATCTTTTACTGCCCCTGTGCACATGTGCCTATTCTTTAGGCTGTGGTTGATAAAGTGTTATACATATGAATGAGTGAGTCATCGTGGAGAATACTGATCAGATACTTATTAAAAAAAATCATGCAATAGCTTTTAATGTTAATATGAACATATTTCTGTGTAATAGACACGGGATACTTCATTTAGACAAACTTGCTAAAACAAAGCTTGGTATTTGCTAAGCAATACTTACTAACAGTTATTGTGGTAATACCCAGTAATGACCACAGTGACTTCCAAGAATAAGTGCCTTCTTTAAAATCATGTTATCTTAATAGGAAATGATTCTTTGTACGACATTAGGAAAAATGATAATTTAATTGATCATTTTCACCTTAATAAATATACCATGTTAAATCAAAACCTTTATTTCGCAGGTATATCACAGGGATGGTTAAATCTGAGTGTGAATATGGGAGGAGTAAATGACAGGATGTTACACTTTTTTTTGAGAGAAGTGACAAAAACTCCTGTTCACCTTCATTGCTTTTGCCAAGTGTTAGGAACTTAAACATTCAGTAGCTGTTGCGTAAACAAAACAAAACACAAGAGCTAAAAGTATGTCCACTCTGAGCTATTGTAAAAACGTGAGAAGATATTCCTGAGCTACGTCAACAGGCTTTAGATAATTATACTCAAAATATGACAACTTTAGGATGCAACATTTAATGTCAATGTAGGGAACACCTCAATGTCATAGCAAATCAGTCACCGAAACAGTTGTAAAATTTAAAGAAAAATAATTATAACTTGCGAGATTTATTAGTGTTAATACCTGGATTGGTAATAGATCGTCAAATGTATTTATACGTTTGTGTATTATACTGTATATAGTGTTGTAAACTTATATATAGCATGTATATTAATATATATTTATACATTTACATATTTATTTACTTTTACATAGCAGGTTAATTGGGCAAAGGTCTACATATTTGACATAAGTGTGTATTTATACACCTGTATGTGGTCAATGTCGGGTTGTTAACTTAACTACTGCTACTCACATAGTCAGTAAGGCTGACCAATTGCTGCCTCTTATGCCTTCATTGGACAAATATTTACAAAGTATACTTTGTACATTTCAGCTGAGTCTGCCGCATCACATTTCCCACAATTAGATGACATCACTGAAGTGTAGTCACCTTGAACATGAACAGAGCCTCACCACTCAAACAGATAATTGTTTGGAGAACACTCACCTCCCATTCTCCCAAGGCCAGCTGGTTCTTCAGCTGAATGAGCCAGTCTTCCTGGACATTGTCAGCGCAGTGGTGAACGGTGAGGATCAAGGGCCTGGTCAGCAGGAGTCCTGGGGGTCCACAGCTGACCACTGGACTCAGCATGGTCTGTACGTCCTCTACTGGGGGTCTGTACACATACACATATGACAGTATTTTGACAATGCTCTCTGTCATGCTCTCTGTCCTTTCTGTTCCGGATTCATACATGGAATAACCTCAGCTGTCCTCATATAAAACCACAGTGAGGTTCAAACGGATAAACTTGGTTCAGGTATGAGGAAATCACAGAACAAATCAGAGCGGAGCAGCACCGATGCAATAGGAGGATTATAAGTTTAGTCAGCAGGGCTTCAGTCAGTAGTTCCCAACTCATGGACAGGAAATAAAAGAATACTCGTAAGCACATACTTACCTGCCTTTTTACTACAGAAATAGCGGAATCTGTTTGTGGCAAAGCAACATAATCCTGCGACTGTGAATAAGTGTGCAATTATACACACACAACGTATGTACATAGGGCCGACTTCCATGACTAAACCGAATGAATTAAAACCACATCCTTAATGCAAGCTCAACCATGAAAGCCCATGAGGCCATAACTGCCTATGTTCTCCTGTGTAATCCATTTTACATAATTTTCTTCCCTCTTCTTTTTTGTGTGTTTTTTTTTTTTTTTTTTTTTGCTTGTGTCATGGGGCCCCTAACCCTCAGTGGAGTGATTGATTTAAGCTCTGAAGTTCATTATTGACTCATTAGAAGCTAACATGTAGGAGAGGCTGACTCAGCCAGCATCAACTTACCTGGTACAGACTGGAACTTCATTGAATTACATATATATACTGTCCCCCTTGAACCGCAACCTTACTATCAGTGTGAAAATAAGACACATGTAAATCTTCAGTGGTACAGGAGTAGCAGAAGAAAACCACAACACCAAAGAAGTTCACGTCGCCCGGATTGACGTCACCGGGGCGAGCGCCTGGTGGCCGGGTCATTGCTCACGGCCCAATCCCTGGACAACCACTCTGGCTATGGGGACATGGAATGTCACCTCGCTGGGGGGAAAAGAGCCTGAGCTTGTGCAGAAGGATGAGCGACACCGACTAGATATAGTCGGGCTCACCTTCACGCACAGTCTGGGCACACTCTTTGAGGCTGGACTCTCCTCTACTCTGGAGTTGCTCGCGGTGAGAGGAGGTGTGCTGGCGTAGGCTTGCTTATAGCTCCTCAGCTTGCCAGTCGTGTGTTGGAGTTCTCCCCACTGAGCGAGAGGGTCGCTTCCCTGTGCCCTCGAGTCAGGGATAGATTTCTCACTGTTGTTTCGGTCTACAGGCACTAGGAGGGGTACTGGACAATGCTCCTCCCGGGGATTCCATCGTCCTGTTGGGGGACTTCAACGCGTATGTGGGCAGCACCAGTGACACCTGGAGGGGCTCGGAGGTCAATGATCGACTTTGTAGTCGTGTCATCTGACATCCGGCCTGGTGGTGAGTTGGCTCCGCTTACGCGCCTCCACATCGAGAGGAGTCAGCTGAGATGGCTTGGGCATTTACATCGCATGCCCCCTGGACGCCTCCCTCGGGAGGTGCTTGGGTCCTGTCCCTCTGGGAGGAGACCTAGGGGAAGACCTAGGACACGCTGGAGCAACTAGGGGTCCCCCCAGAAGAGCTGGAGGAAGTGTCTGGGGAGAGGGAAGTCTGGGTGTCCCTGCTCAGACTGTTGCCCCCACGATGGATGGATGGATGGATCTTCATATGTAGGTTTGGCCACTTCTATACAGTAGATTCAATTGATCCTTTAAAGGAAACTGACGACCACAGTTGAGACCCTAATGAACCTAAACCACATGATTGTTGGTGTGAACGGTGTTGCTAAAGTAGGTTGGTGTAGCTACATGCTGTTCTCTGGCCTTTATTGACTAGGAGAAGGCCGGAGTATATTGAAGACATTTGTCTTTCACAAATACTGTCAAAGATTACTGACCCCAAACAATGGCAAACAGTGACCCAAGTGACATGTCTGCCGAAAATACAAATTGCTAATTACCTTTTCAAAATTGCAATAAAAAAATAACACAAACAATCTGGTTATTTACTTCAACCCATACAAAAAATGGTGTAAAGTAGTCTATAGCCTTGGCCACGTCTGACATAAAATTAACATAATATTTGCTTTTACAAAACTCCAGTAAATGAAATCCAATCAACTGCAACATATTTTACACTTTTCTGCTATATAAATATCTTAGAGACTATATATTTCTTCTTTTGTTCTAAATTTATTTTCATTTTATGACACCATTATAAGGTATTTAGCATTTAAAAATATAAATTCTGACTGTGAAATGCAAACCTGAAACATTTCACGTTCTAAAAAACAAACAGCTGATTTTTGGCAGCTGTACAATGATGAAAAGAAAACACGTAGGTTTGTTTATCCTACATCAACACTATATAGGCCCAGCTTTCACACTAAGTAGGTGTACTGTGAGTAAATTGAAATTATAAGATCATTATATGTCAATAAATGTAATTTTTGTATTTTGTGTTTGGTGACAGGGGGTTTTGGTAAATTGTAAAATATGTGCTGTGTCTTAAAGTGGTTGAAAAGCACTTTTATGCCACACAGAAATTCTCTGCAATAAACTATGTACTGTGAAGTTACTTAAGTTGTTAAAAACAATGAGCAACGGAGCACAGTCAAAGTAAAAATATTCACACAAACGTGTGAAGGAAATGTGGGAAAGAAAACACAAATGAGGATAATATATGGGAGGAATTCTGAGAGGAAAATTGAAGGCAAACAGAGAAACAACACTCACCTCAAGCTGTCCTTCCTGTGCACCGTCACATACATCTCATACACCCTGCCATGAGGCACTGCACCGGCTGGAACCAACAAACTTACACCTGCAAGGACAACAGAACAGGAAGGATGGAGGCAAAAAGAATATTTATTTTTCATCAGTGAAATTACTCATTTGAACATGCTCAACTCAATTATTGAACTTGTTGTCTTTTCATAAACTGAATAATCCTTGCTGAAGGCGAACTTTCGTGAAATTTATCATCAAGTAAATTGTAATGTGATGTTGTTTGAGTATGGTTTGAAATCTAGAATTTAGACACCAGTTGAATGTTTCTGGTTACTTTGGACGAGTGATCTGACAGACGATGGCAGGGACTTTTCTAGAAAGAAGGACCAAAACTTTCTGATTTTTACAGCTAAGGCTTGAGGGCTTTCCAATGACAGAAATACTGTCCTCATGACTGTCCCCCTAAGTATCATATCTGAAGGAAGTCAGCCACCACTCATCATCTGTCTAATAACATCCCAATGGTGACACATGGTGTTGGCAGCGCTGTACTGTGGGGTTTTTTTTCAGCTGCAGGCACATGAAGGCTGATGAGCATTGAACTGAATCAAGCAGAGGCACTTAATAAAACCTTGCGGAAAACTTAAAGAACAGATGAGAAAATGCAGCTATGTCTTAGGGACAACTTTGAGAAAATCCTGCGGTTTTGCAGAAAGAGTTTAGACCACAGTGATGTGAAAATGTCAACAAAGCCTAAATAAATAAATAAAGGATCACTTTTGAAATCCAGGTTTAAAATTATAGCAATCTCTGAAAATGACATTTGTTCCAATTCCAAGGATTAAACACTGCAATGTTCAGTGTTTACTAGAGGGGGAAAATAGAGCAGGCTCATAAGGTTCTGTTTCCTTCCTAAGTCCACTTGCTTAATAGTTGCTTAATGGTGTATTTGAGTGATGACATCACACACATGCTGCATAATTTGGTTTAGAGTATTTACAACACGGCGTCAGAGCAGTGTCTGTAGTTTGATTGCATTTCACTAAAACAGACACTCTCCTTTTGCGGGACATGAGCAGAATAGACAATTATTCTAAAAATATTTCATAGTACTTACCCAACCAACTCTCCCACTGACCTGATTTATGCTGTGTATGGATGTTAAAATATATAAATTAATAACCTGTAGAACTAATCTATAAATATTTGAGTTTTTTTATCTCTCTAGTATGGCTTCTGACATTTTTGCATTTGTTGTTATCAGAAAAAATATATATGTGTATATGTGTATATGTGTATATATATATATATATATATATATATATATATA